GTTATAACGGCTGTCGGTGAGTGAGTTTGTGCTAAACAGGCTGCTTCGGTAAACGTGTCGATAAATGTCTGCAGTCGGTCCGATGGTAGGTGGGGTGGAAGGTAAATACAACCAATGATAAGTGTGAAGTTAGCGATCTTGATTTTTGCCCATACCCACTCTTGGTTCCCAATTTCAATATGTGTAAGTCTTTGAATTGGTAGTGATTTATGACAATAGAGGGCCACACCCCCTCCATGTCGCGTTCTGTTTTTTATTATAGGCGGGTGGAAGTCTTCCAACATGTATTGACTGTCTGCTATCGTATTATCAAGTTTCGTTTCAGTGAGCGCTAGGATATGCACGTTGTTTGTTTGTATAAATTGTTCCAATTCTTCTTTTTTATTTTCTACAGTAATGCTGTTTATGTTTATGTGCACAATTCTTAAATTTGTCCTATCAGTTGGCCCTGGGTTCGTTTCGATGCCGTGCATTGTCAAAAGTTTTTGAATGTTTAGGTAGAGCCCAAGCCGTGTCCATTGAGAGTTTGTCAAAGTCAGGTTTAAGGGTATGTCATGTCCGGTACAGTGTATGCTTGGAGATGTCGCAGATTGGATGGGATTAGTCGAGGCTCGGTGGGCTTGGATTAAGGTACTGGAAGTCCCTGCACGGGCCGCGGTCCCAGGCGGCGGCGGCGCCCGGACGGCGGCTGACACCTCGAAGATGGCCGAATGAAGTTGCTGTACCGGGCGAGCCCGCACCCCCGGCGGAGCCGCGGCGGAGGCGACGGCCGTCAGGTCGAGCATCAGCGAAGACGAACGGCGCCGGCGAGCACACTGCAATCATAGTGTCGGTATGTCAACCACTGGCAGCTAGACAGGTGTTATACACACTTGAAAGACATGGTTTACAGAAGGTACAATATAAAAATAAATGCCATGCAACATGAGACGCTTAACAAAACAATGCACGTCGACTGAACACTGATCCGAATAGCGATAATTTGAGTCGTGTGACTCTCACGAACACAGCAACCAGTCACCAACCCCTCCCATCCCACAAGCCCGCCCCACTCCTCTCCCCTCCCTCCCTCTCCCCATCCGCTGCCACACCTGTCCCACGGCTCAAAGGTCAACAGTCGGGAGGTCAGCGGGTGACCCGGTGACAGGCGGTAACGGGTAAACGCGACGCCAGTACTACCGTACTGAGGATAGCCTCGGGAAAGGGACCGCCCCGGCCTCGGCCGGCGCGCTGGGTCGGGGATGTCACAGGGCCAGGGCAGGACAGGTACACTGGATAGAGTGGTGCGCAGCGAGATCAGCTCAGACAGAGGGGCGGCGCGAGCAGGGCGCGCACCGCAGACGGCGGGTCAGGGCACTTCGGGGCAGGGATCAGCACAGGACCAAAGGACGCTCTCACAGACGCTGAGTCGACACGCATCGGGGCAGGGGCCGGCACAGCGAGAGTTACCGTGCACTTTACTTAGCCGAACTTTTGTTGCCCCGGGTGACTCGTCGGAAGCCGTCCCCGTCGGTCTCCGTCGGCGCCTGAGGTTTGCGACGTTCGGCTGCGCTGTTGACGAGCTTCTGCAGGTCTGTCATGGTGCGGATCACAGTCGTCGGGCCGTTCTCTCTGAGGCGCACCTTCAGTTTTCCGACGTCCGACCACGCCGCGAACAGCTTCCCCTCCTTCCTGAACTGACGAGCTCTGTACAGGATGTGCTGGTTCTCCCTGGTGAGGTTGTCCGTGACGAACACCTTGCTGGCCACCGCAGTCGTCACAGTCGATCCCTCGAACGACCGAGGCTGGCGTAGCTGTCGACGGGCCCCGTAGAACGCCTCCCGCTTGGCGTAGGAGACGAATCTCACCAGTAGGGTGCGGGGCCTACCTGGCTTCACAGCGCCGACACGGTGGGAGCGGTCGATGTCCGCCTTGGAGACGTCCACTCCGGCCAGCCGAGCGGTGTCCATGACCAGCCGGTCGGTGTCCTCGTTCGGTGTCTCAGGAATCCCACTCACATCCAGGCAGAGGCGGCGAGAGTACTGCTCTAGCCCGTTGAGCTGAGCCCTGGTCTCTGCTAGCTCCTCCTTGAGTGCCTCAATCTCCTCGTCCCTGGCTGCAACGGCTGAGTCCACCGCCGCTCTGACCTGGTCTCGGATGATGTCGACGAAGACGTCGTCCTTCAGGATCCTCGTGATGGCCTCCTTCAGGGCTGCGTCGTCCATGACTGCCGTGGGTGCAGTGTCTGCTGGTGCTCACCGGCGCCGCTCACTAGCACAAAACACTGGTAACGCTCACCGCGGCCACACCGACACTCTAACTCACAGCTGACAGCTCGGAGCGGCCGGCGAGCGGGAGCGGCGGGAGCGTGACCTGACCCGGCGGCGGCCACAGGTCAACTGTCAACCCCGAAAAGGCATACAAGTGCAAGAAGTCATTACAGGTCAACCGAGGTCACTGACCTTACCTTGACCTTTAGTAACCTTTAAAATGTCAACGGACATTGTGCCAATGTCAAATCAGCCAGTTGTGATTCTAAAACAATCCATCAGTGTGTCAGGTCAGTCGGCATTTATACCAATATGAAGCAATCTCCAATTTAGCGTAAATCTGGCCGGAGGTTGTTCCCTTTATGACGTCATAACTCCGTGACCTGACATGACCTTGACAAAAACAAAAGTTGCGCAAATGATGCCCCAGAGGGTACTGAAAATTTGAGCAGGCTATCTGAAACGGTTCGGCGTGTAGCTAAGAAAACCCTTCGGGGGGGGGGGGGGGGGTGCACCAACCAACCTACATGGGCGAGGGTTAAGCTGCGACGGTGATTCAATCCTTCAATCCTTCAATCGCTTTACCTCTTTATCCCTCATCTTCATTATTCCCTGACACGTCTTCTGTCACTTACCTCTCCCTCTCCCTTCCCTTTCCCCTCTCCCTGACAACTATAGTAGGTTCGGCAGCAGAATCTAACCCAGCAAGCAGTTGTTTGTGAGAAAGAAAATAAACTTCAGCGAAAATCGGACATAAGGCGCCATAACAGTCACTAAAGATCAGGCGCAATAGGGTAAATATCACATTAAATGGATTTATGCAGCGCATACTGCTTGACTAAATGCGTAAAGGTCCTGAGACAAGTCGCTTGATGAAGCGTTAAAACATATATATTTTTCATGCGCCCGTTGGGCGATCATTACCCATTATTTAAATCAATTTAGCCAATTATCTAGCGCATGCATCAACATACTATGTATAGGGCAGGCATTATCTGCTACTCGGCAAAGTAAGCCCACTTCGTTGACATATTAATCGAGCTACTTTGTTCGAGAACAGTAACAGCTCGTTAATAATTTGGCTACCTTAAACATTGGCTTAATTTCAATTTTGGCACCGTTTTCAATATTCAGCTTCCATATGCAAAGTGCCAGCCGAGCCCAATACAGAAATAGTTTGCGCTCTGCTTGCATTGCAGCGCGCCTTATCAAAGTGTCTTCCCTCGTTAAAACGCTGCTTTGTTTTATGACAAAGACATTTGTTCCGCATCATAACTGCATAATAGCAAAACTGTGAGATTGCAGCCACCTGACATTGCCTACCTATTCAGATAATGATGCATCTAATTACCCTGATTGCTGATTAGCAAAATGACCTTCCGCCGCCTTTCATCATTTCTTATTGCTAACAAGTGACCCGGTTCATCTTTGTATGACGTTCTTCATTTGCCGTGCGGACTTGCCATGGATTAACACTGCGCAACAACTTTGGAGTCGCTGAGAACCGACGTCTGATGATGGGAGCCGAAACTGAGCCGAAACTGTTGTCCTTCGACATACTTCTTCACAGTAAATAGAAGAGTTTGTATACTGAAGCACAGGATGGCAGCAGCCAGCAAAAATTGACGGAAACACGACAAACCTTGATGGTAGTAGGTACCTAAATACCTACATCTGAAACACGAGACACATACATTCATGGCACTGCTGTACCTGTAGGTGGCTTGAGCGGTGCATTTTTAGGCAGGACCCTGCTAAGTCACATGGAAAAAAATATTTACTCCGCTAGGTGGGGTTTTGACGTCCCAAATACAGTACCTACATTGGAGTAGATCTTCGCCTTGTTTTGGAGTTTTATCTATAAAACTCCATTTTACCGGGTTTGGATACTCCAAACAGTTATGCATGAAGAGTAGGAGAACTCCCAGACTCCTTAACATTTACTCTGGCTCATCAAGTGGGATATTTAAGTTACTCTGCCCCGCACTTGATGTACTAGAGTAAAGGAAGGAGCCTGGGAGTTCTCCTGACTCCTACTCCTCATGCAAGCTGTTTGGAGTATCCAAACCCAGTAAGATGGAGTTTTATGAATAAAACTCCAAAATAAGGCGAAAACCTACTCCAATATATGTACTGTATTTGGGACGTCAGAACCCCACCTAGCGGAGTAAATATTTTTTCCGTGCACAGGCCATTCCTATCATGCAGGCTGCATGTTTTCTTTTTTCGCCCGGGCATGCTATATTTAGACAAAAACATGCATCGCGCTTGTAAACATATACGCCCGACCGACATTCTAGGTGTAGGTTTTATCTTCATGTCTAAAGCAAGTAGCGGGACGCACCACGGGACGACCTTTTGCGGGATGCACCTCGTCCAAAAATAGACAGCCTCTGTTTACCGGTCTTTGTGATCACAGCAAGCATTGTTCATGGCACACGACCGGTTTATTTACGTTCTTCAGTTCAGGCTAACCTTGTCCAGGAGCCCATCCGATGGGTGTGATGTCATTACTCGCTAATGTTACCTCATTTCTATGCTCTTAACTAATATTTGTCATGAAAAGCCAATCTAAAAACATTGAAGAACAATTCACAATTATAATAGTATATGTCATCTATATCAAACATATAGCGCAGGTGACGAATGTTTTCCGGATGTGCGCATTGATTCATTTCAACACAAAACAGTTCAAAGTTATTGTGCGGAATGCCTCTGACAGAGGCTCTCCCGCCGCCCGTAGGGACTCACCTCCAGGTCCTTCTCAGCGGTATTGTTGGCGTTCCTGGAACAGAGAACCCGTGTGTCACAAAAATATAATGCGTGTGTCATAAGTACTCCGGCGAGAGCTACATGACCCCGCGCGACATATGGGTGAGAGGCGCCGTCTGGTGTTTCAATTGGCCGCATTTGCGGAGCTGAAACACCGCGCTCAGGTTGCGGATTGAGTTTCATATGCATTAGGTACATACCGCGATACGCGTATGCCTTCACTGAAGTTGTGTTTATCCCGCAAGGCCAATAGTTTAATGGTTTGAGATTTGACTGTCGTCTCGTCTTAAGTTGCTGAAAAAGAATGGCTTGAATCCTACGGCTAAATGATTTATAAATTACATGGTATAGGTATAACCACTAAGCAGTTAGCTGCATTTCTCTCAGGCTTCTGTTCCCTTGATTACAACGGACTTGACACCATATATGGTGATTTACCTGCACCGACTTCCAATGCAAACCGGTATGATGTAACCAGAGCCACGACAAGAGCTGAATGTAGACACGCCAATAAATGTCATCACAAATCCTGCACCTTCATTACTAATCCGAGGTTGAATAATGCTACCGGGCGTGTCCTTGAAATGTTCCTCGTCGGCGCGGAATAAAATCAAATAAACCATGTCCACGTGCCCATGCGATTAACGAGTCAGGATGTATTACAACACATATCTCGGCGCAGTCATCCAGCATCTGTATAGCTGACCAGATCAGTCGACATTAATCTGTCAAATCGCCGGCGATCGGTGGTCGGTCATTGGAATACGATACCCGCACCGACCGCTGCGTTCCATGCATATTCTCTGCGTCTGGGGTGTTTGAGCCGTGGGAGGCGCGGGGTCGCTCGTGCCAGGTGGGCTCCATCACATTTAAATTTGAGCTTCTCCGGCTCACTATGGGCGGGGCTGGCAAGAGCTGCCCGTCCGACTAAGAACGCATGGTCAATTCTCAGACAAGGACTGAGGAGCGAGTGGAACCGTTTTGAAAACGACTGAATAAAAATCAAAACTAACGCGTTCGTGACGTCTTTCGTCTTCGCCACATTGTATTTAAAAACTCTGAGCGACAAACCCAGCAGCTCCCCCGGCCATATACGAACCACGATCCGTGATAAATGGATCTAGCCCAGGAACGAGGGCGTTTACATATTGTTCCGCTTTTTACCCGACCCGTCGGCCAACTTTCGGCGTGGCAGTCGCGATACGGAGAGCCAGGAAGGCCAGACGCGGAGGAAACTTTTCATGCTGTCCACGTAGATTTATGGATCTAATCCCACAATCGTGTGACTAGCATGACCTTATGGCGAGAGCCGACTGATTGTTGGGCTCGCCCGGAGTTCGGCGACGACCAAGCCAATTCCCATCTCGTATATTTAATAACTTTTTTATCGGACAATGATAACTCTTACATAATATATGCTGACTCTAAGGTCTCTTTTGCTTTTGACCGGGGTGGCTGCCTTCGCATTTGTTACCGTAGGTACTCACTATGGGGAAACATCTCGCAACCCATGCCAAATTAATGCTAGCTCTTCTAGGGCATCGGCTGACTTTATTAATTAGACTGCAGAGGCACGTCTCCGAATCAAATCTCGGCAACTAGCCGGATTTACAGTACTCAAAGTCCATTTCAGAAAGTTAGTTCTGGATGAGAGCGGAGTAAGCAATGAGGTCAAACAGTCAAGTTGAAGCATTTCATTCGTAACTGAGAGCTGAAAAGTTAATTCCGGAGCTGCTGCGTCTTGCCTTATTTATCCCTGCCATTTGTAAACAATTATTACTTTTTTAGTAGGCACGTCTCGTCAGCACCGTTTTATCACAGCAGAAGACTCTCCTCAAGTCCTCACATCATGCGTCATTTCTATCCTCACGTCAGTCGCCGCTCTGAGTCGGCGTCAGACTGACGTCGCAGCTGTGCAGCCGCCCATCAACGCCGAGACACGCGTGTGCGGCTGTCTGACGGAGAGTTTTTGTCCGGTACACGCGCCAGCATTGACTCGGCACAGAGCAAGTGTTCCCGACGTTCAGGTGTTGCTGTGATGTGTCAATCCGCCTACGTATGTTGCTATACACCATTTGGCGTAAGCTCGGGACAATGACGATGATGACAAGATGTGCTGAAGGAGAAAGTTCGGTAGCAGATGTTTAAGTGCGGTGCTTGAATCAATGCGCATGGATGCGGCTTAATGAAGGAAGAAGTGAATTGCGACTGGGAGGCCTTACCAGCATTGATTTCAGCTAATGATGACTTTTGTTCATGACTGGGTCGTTTTTTTTAGCATAGAGGTTATTTTGACAGTATTAGACGTATGCCCATTCCACAGCCTCTTAGTCCCGACTTACACTCGCCTACGAAACTTCACCGCGTAAACATGAGCAAATATGGTAAAGCTAAAGAACGATAGTTCCTCGGAATAGTATTGATTTCACCCGTCAACTGAAGGGCAAAAAAGCGCATTAAAAACTAGACGTTGCGCTGTCAGACGCTATTTCGTTTTTGGCGGGGACCAAATAAGTCACTAGAACACGTTCCCTGCATATTTGGAGTCAACGGCCAAACAGCCGTCCTCCCGTTCAACTGCACCTTCTACCAATATTTCTATCAACCCGAGCATTTTCTATCGTATAAGGCCTTTCTTCGGCGATAAATGGTAGCAACATTCATATATCTCAAGAGGAAATGTGACAGAAACTGTGTAGAATGTCTAGACTCCAGGTGAAGCCCCCTTGGAGCTATTTTCAATGAAACAGAGCTGATACATTCCCTTGGAATATTTAATGCTAAGCTTTTGTGTAACGGATCTGTGGCATGCTTTAGACTTCACTGAGCATTTTATTTGCGTGATGTCTATTTATAGGTACCTAATCAAAATGAGTTACATCGAGCATCGAACTCGACTCACCTTCTCAACTAGAGGACAGAGAGCAGACATTCTGAGGTGCGGGCAAGAAGAACAGTTCCTCATTTTCAGCATCAATTTGCAGCGGCACGTGTCCGACGGAGAAGGCCGAGAGAGAGAGAGAGAGAGAGAGAGAGAGAGAGAGAGAGAGAGAGAGAGAGAGAGAGAGAGAGAGAGAGAGAGAGAGAGAGAGAGACGAGCTCAATTTTGCGAATCTCTGCAGTCGTCACCGCTTTTGTACAAAGCTAATCAGCATGCACCGCTATGGTCTGCGACCGCCGACGGTTACCGGGGATTAGGGAAAACGGCACGAACCTCGTGTCTGCCGCCCGCCTCCGAGCCGCCACAGACCCGCGCGATTGCACTGCAGACAGTCGCCACTGTGCCGTCCCGGCTCGCACTCACAGCTCAATGCCGCTCGTGACAGCAGAGCTATGTGAGGCGCCAGCAAATAACGAGGTACGGAGAGCTGTAGTTTGCTGCGGAAGCATTCCTCGTGACTGCCTTGTTACCGCACAGAGCTGCGATCTTTGTAATGTTTGCTGCACTTATCAGATAGCGTAGGAGAGGCAGCCATGGGTACTCCAAACGCTAATTGCACACCTTGACGATAAATAACACGAACTCATTTGGCCGGGTACGTGTCAGTTCGCCTGTCCGCCTGGCCAAGCAATTCAGCCAGCACGAGCATGACTAATAGTGATATTAGGTTGTCCATATCTGATCTGCAGAGAGCGTTTATGGCACGCTCTGGCATGATCAGACCCGCCTTAGCTCGCGATGAGCCGATGCCAGTCTTTCGGCTACGCCTTACACATGTTAAGGCGGAGCTCTTTGAGCGGCATTTACGAGAGCTCCCGGATTGAAGCAGCCGATTCGGACGATGTGGATGCAGCCTGATGCAGGTCAATCAGGAGAATTTATCGCCCAGATGTTCTGCTATCGGCCCTGCCCATACCCGGGGCAGCGGAAAGCATTGCAAGCGTGGGTGAAATAAAATAGTGCCTACGTTCTAAGAGAGCTTTGGTGCAAGCATTTCTTAGCTTACGTATATGATGAATAGTTTGTCAGTATGGCTCCTAGCAAATCTAAAAAAAAAAAAAACAGTTAGATGCATCCATAGATAAAGATAAACTTCTTTGTTTCAGTTTGAAAAGAAACTCATCATTCTCTGTTCTTTACAAAAAGCATCTTATTTCTATCCCGAGCACGTCTGACCCTAACCTCGACTAATGAATTATGTGGTGGCCCATGAATTTCAAAAGATAAAAATAAATATCTATGGTCTTGGCTGGTCTTCCTATTCTCTTCCCGCATCCTTGATGTATTCCTTTATATCGGCCTTTCTCGGAGGAAAGACCTTGGTTTATAAACGCGTCGGATATAAAATTCTTCCGCACCTATTGCAATCGTCCGTCCATGCTGAAAACATTCAGACCCGGACAGCAGCCAAAACGGCGGCCTTGACGCTACCACAATATACCACGTCCTGAGACGCCGACTTCTGTCTCCATAATCTAATCGGCAGTCTCTCCTTGAGAAGCTGTCATGATATGAAACGCCACTTGACCGATAGTTAAATACCTCAAACTCACAGAAGTCCTCTCTTCCATGCCTTCGTAAGATACCTCACCATCTTGTCAAGAAGCCAGGACCAATGGCAGGTTCGGTTACCGTGAATGAGACTTATGTTCACAACCAACATGTTGCAATCGTATCACCGCATGATTGTCATCACAACATACGGGCATCGTACGGTCACAACAGCCCAGCGAGTGGCCAAAGAGCACGAGCATCGATGTGTTGACAGAATCTGCAAGTCGCACTCTATAAAGCAGCAGACAATTAAAAATGTGCATTCTGCCGGCGTGATTTTAAGGACCCGCGGCATGCACATAGGCATTGTGCTGGCGGTGCACTTTTTGTTGTGTTGAGGAGATGGTGGTTTACATCGTGATTACAGATGAGGAGATATAACCACATCGAGACGATGAATGCTTTTAGTCCATAAGTAAAACATATGTGATTATGGACCGGGTTAATGTGACTAAAATGTACAGCTCGCGTAGTTTAATTCATTGCGGATTTATATGTTTAACGGTTTCGTGGCCGTTAAGGGATTCAAACCCGTTTTTTAATCTAAGCCAGTTTTGAGAATCCTTCCTTTTACAAACATCACTACATCTGCGATGCATGAAATATGGATATCACAAGAGATTGACCGTTATAAAGAAAAATACGATGGTATGATTGGAGTGCATACTGGAGATGAAGAGATGGTGGGTGAAAAAAGACGCCCTCTCTGTTCTCCCTGAGGATCAGCGAAGCAGCGGCAGCGAATACTTGACGTTAAGAGATGCAAATACCAGTCTCGTGCTAAATCACATTTAACATTTAACCCTATTCCTGGCGGGCTCCTCCGGGACAAGAAACTGGCGGGGGGGGGGCCGATTCGGCCCCCCCTTCAGATCTCAAAAACTACACATCGCAGCGACAAACGGTAAACAGCATCGGATACGCACGGTCAAGATCTACAATTTTTACTAAGGTCATTTTCAGGTCAGGTCAAAGATGACGTCACAGGGGTCGAAAAAGTCAAAATGGCGGCGCTAGATATGGAGAGAGTTTTTCTCGAATAACTTTCGAATTAGTCAAGATAGGAACAAACTAAGGGCATCATCGTGATCCTCTTGTCAATCCGCATCGAATGATATATATGTTGACCTCGAAAGGTCAAGGTCAAAGGTTGACCTCAGGTCACGTGACCTCGAGGTCATCATGTATATCATTCGATGCGTCTTGACGAGCTGAACACAATGAGACCATCCACGCGTCTGTATCTTGTTCCTGTACGGAGTTATTGGCCAAAAACCTTTGGTGACCTTTGATGACGTCACATGACCTCACAGCTGCCCAACAGCAAAACAGACCTCAAGGTAGTGAAGGTTGATCGTATATGAAGTCATGTATGGTATATGGGGCCATTCCGACCCGTTTTAGTGGTAAAAACAGGGAGTTGATTTTTCCCCCATTGACTTATAATGGGGAGGTCGCGAAACTGACCTGACCTTAGGTCACCCATATCAAAATTCCGAGATATACAAATTGCACATACTGGTACCCTAACTAAAGCCTGAAGAGAAGAAATTGATCGGTCAAAAACTCTAGCTCCGGCGTGATTGCAAACTTTTCTGAGGTAGGGTCACCAAACCGCCTCTGGTGACCTGACCTGAGGTCAGATCAACTCAAAATTTTCAGACATGTTGCGTAGAAGCCTTTTAGGAAAAGTCAGAAAATTTGAGCTTCCTAGCTCAACGCGTTTGGGAGAAATAACCAAAAAACCTCAGGGGGGGCTCCTGAGGCCCCCCCTGCCAGGAAAAGGGTTAACTGATCACCGAAATGTCTATAATTGCGCTAAGTTTAGGTAAACGTTCATACGCTCAAGCAACTATCTATTACCGGTAATGATATGGCTGTTAAAGAAATTAGCCATCCATTAGCTGACTCGGAGTCACCGCCATTAACCGTGTGCGCATTCCATCGCCGCTGTCATCCCGTCCCGGCCCATACCTGTCGGAGACGTAACACTTGTTGGTCACCCTCTCCACCACCTGGTACAGGTGCACCAGCTTCTCCGCCGCCTCTGTCGCACTGGGGCCATCCGATGCCGCCGTCAGTCTCACCAGGTCACGGGCGTCATCGCCGTCATCACCTCCTCCCGGCAGGAGGGAGGTCGGCGCGTCGGTATCATCACCGCACGGGGTCACACATTCGGCGACCTCCGAGAGAGAGCGACGCAAAGAGGAGGAGCGCGGCGGTACCGGGCCGGACAGACCCACCGGCCACACCTCCGAGATGGAGCGGCGCATCGCGGCCGCTGCAGCGGTCACTGGTAGTTGTCCGTGACCTGTCAGTGACTTCCCTCGGGGACGGGGTGATCGGTGTCCTGGGAGAGTTTCGGCTCACGCTGGACTGTCCGCGGTGACTTTCGGCTTGGTTGATGATTTATCGCCGAAAGCTGATTGACAAATGGTTTGATGGCGCTATTGGTGAGTTACTAAAACGGCGATAAGCGGTTGAAGCTCTGTCAGACTCTACTCAGACTGCAGATATTCTTACTGCTCTGCTGACAGCCGTCATCACGGTTGGCACTGATGCATAGACCACAGTCACTATACCTCGATCACTGTCAGGCTGACCCGCTGTATCTCCTAATAGCCAGCACGCTACTGCCTTCTTCAGTATCACAGCGCACCACAATTGACCTCACACACACTGTTCACGGTTGACCTCACACTTCTCAAAGCTCGCAGCCACTCCGGCACCGGTCTCACTGCTTCTGACTCGCCGAGCTCACCGTCTAACCCATCACCTGCTCACCCCTCTCACTGTGGCCACACCGCACCTCGCTCACTGGGCCGTCGAGCGGAGCCCGCATGGCTTCCCACCGCCGTCGACACGCCAGTCTGCCGCACGGGCCTCGCGTGGCCCGCCCCCGTGCACCCCGCCCCCCGCTCAGGTGGGAGGTGCAGCTAGCGCCGCCACGCGGCAGACAACTGAAACTCCCGGCCGGCTGAGCTGCGGCCTGCGCCCGCGAGCCTGCGAGCTGAGAGCTCTCACGACACTTTGGCGAGCCGGTACGGTGGGAGTGGCGAACCTCGACTGGCACAGCGGGGGTCGGCGAGGCGCGTGTCAGAGAAGGTGTGAGCGCGTCGACCGCTCGGCGGGAGCTCGGCGGGCTCTCAGACAGGGTGAATGTCTCACTCGCCGGCGCAGAGAAGGCGAGTAACCGAACACTGCACTGCGGTCTCCGCTGGCGACTCCGGAGCGGAGCCAGTCACCGGATTAGTGCCGGTTATGGAGAGATGAGGTGGCCGCACCACGGGACACCCCTGGTCCATAATGAGGCCCTGTCGGCGGATTAGCACCTCGTGGTAATCCGACACTGGTGCGGGCCGCAGGTAATTTATGGTCGCTAATACCCAGACTGCTCACAGGAGAGGGAACACCCGCGGTGAGCACTTGAGTTGAGACGCGGCTAATGCGGCACTGAGCTGGACCGCAGGTGGGGTCCGTTCGTCAGTGACGGTCACGTATACCGAGCGGCGACCTCTGCTCTCACTGCCGGTCGGCCAGCGCAGGCCTCAGCTGAGGTCAGCGAACAGATGGGACACATGAGAAGGCTGACAGCCAGACGACAGACAAACGAGAGGCTTACAAATACAAAACATATGTTGCCGGTAACATTAAAAGAGTGTATGGGTTAGTGGGCGCATCAAGGGTGTCAGCAAAAATAATAAAGTAATATGGAACGATAAGAACCCAAGTCACAGCAAAGCCCCCGCAGAAAAGCCAGAAGGCTCAGCGGATTCACAAAAGGATGAGTGGATGCATCGGAGGCCAGCAGACGCCAGAAATGTCGACCAGAAACCTGACAAACACACTACGGGGGCAAGTGAACACAGAGTAAGCTTCACAGGCTTCATCAGACACTCCCAGCCGCTGCACTGGCCGTGGTGGACTGCGTCACTCCATCCTACCCCTGTCTGGTCGTGTGGGCCGCGTAGATCGCGTGGTTCGCGCCGGTCGCGTGGGCGTCAGACAGGTCGGCCGACACGAGGCGTGCCGGCAGTAAAGCGGAATACGGCGTGCCAACCGACCCATCCCACCCCGTGACCTCGTGAGCGCTGAGAGAACTCCGTGACCCCAAGTGTTGGCGGGCCTGCAGTGGGGCTGATGTGAGCTTGGCTGACCCGACTGAACAGGGTTGACCTGAAGTGTCACTTGGCTGGAGCTGATCGACAGGGCTAGACTGACTCAAATGGACCTCGCCTGAACTGAGCCTCAGCCTGACCCAGTATGACCTGATACATTGGGAAGATCAGTGACCTAGCCTAAGCAGCTTGACCAGCCAAGGCTACCTGAGACTTGAGTTATCAACTGCTGTGGCCCTTTTGGAGTCACCCTGCGCACCACTTAACAGATAATAGTTTGACGTTACCTGAAAATTACTTGTCCCTTAATCTATGAGTGATTTTCTTAGACCGACCTGTTTGACCTATCATCGATGGCGGATGTTATAGAGCTTCAGCGTTTCAGTGGTAATTTAAAATGATTCATATTTGTGTTCAAAGCTCAGATCTATTTCGCTGTTTATTGTCTCTGTATTCATCCGGAAGCGAAGCAAAACATTGAAACTGATTGGCCCAGCTGGCAAAGTGCCGACCGGGAAGCGAACGAACCTGAAAACCTCAACTACGAAACTGGCGCCAACAGTCGCACCGCAAAACCGCGCTGCTCAGACCAGCTGCCCCGAGGTGACCTGTCGACCCGTATGACCTGGAAACGTGGAGGCTGCACTTCTCGGCGGAGCGCGTCTCTTGCAGTTCAACTGGCTTCAGACAGTGTTATGCACGTCATTTGTCGCTCGTGAGAATTCTTCCACGCCGCAAACTTTTTGTATCGAGAAAACTGGCGAAAACCTAGAGGAACGATAACCAGTCCAAAAGACCGGGCCAAAATATTAGGATGCTTATCGTATACAGCTGAGCTGTCATGTTATTCAAGGAAAGGTCACCGCGCTGGGTCTCTGAAGCCATCCAACGTCTGATGTGCCAACTATCCTTTTGGGTCTTCTCGTCACTGCGGCTATATTAGGCCTGAATGCTCGTATCCGCTATAGGATTTGTATTTATGTAAGGCAGCGCAGCCAAATGAGGTTTGTATAGCAAACTCTGACTTCTTCTTTCCGATAGATTACCTGTCAACAACCTAATTGGGCAATGAGTCTCACTGGTCGCACAAAAAAGGCTCGCTTTGAGCTCAGCGATCTACATGTAAACTGTTCCAAGCAAGGCCGGTTCCAAGTAACCGACTGAGTCGAGCAATTGGTAGGAACAGTACCGGCTAACGACTCCGCTGGTATTTCACACAAAAAGCTGTGTTTGATCGTGGGCTAGTTATCGAATCGGCATTTTCTGGGATTCAATATAAGCATCTGTTAATCGACAGCGAATAATGACCTTAGAACGGTAGGTACCTTCACAATAAGGTTTCGATGGAGACTATTGGACATTGGTAAGATGCCAACGGGCAAAGGACGATGCCCTGAAATATGCAGGCCGATGAATTATATGCATACCTGTGACGTGTTACTTGCACCAAAATATGCTGTCGCCTGTCATGACAATCATTAAAACACGACAACAGGAGTTGGATTCATTACACCACAACTCATGTTTCGTGGTTAGCAGCAAACTAGACTGATGCATTAAAAAACATCACTTGATTGATGCAATACACAAGCATATTCAGCGTGGTCTGATTAGCCCTCGCCGGCCGAGGGGGGGGGGGGCGGGTGCCGCCCCCCCCCCATAGGGTTTTTTCGCGATAGCTCCGAACACGCTGGTGATAGAGAGCTGAAACTTGGCATACCTGACCTGTGATCTAAGCCGGATCTTTTGACACCAACCGCATTTTTGGGTCAGGTCAGGTCACTGACCTATGACGTCACAAGTGAACCTCTGCACGGTCTTCAGATGTCGCAACTTCGCAACGCCCTCACTGCCAGAGGAGATGTCACAGGGAAATGAAACTTGCAGGATCTAGTATCCATTATGAGTCCCACAACTTGTATATGTCGGATTTTTCCTAAAGGTCATATGAGGTCAGGTCATTTTCGTGACCTCACCATTATAAGTCAATGGGGAAAAATGAAAACTGCTATTCTGGCGCCGGGAACGATCTCCAACTATCTCAAGCACACAGAATCGTGATTTGATGCACTCCTTGCAAGGTAAGATGCGTCACTTTTGCAATGTTGACCTTTCGTGACGTCATTTATGACGTCATCAAGGTCATATTAGTTTTTCGTCAATAACTCTTGATCAAATTGAGCTAGCGAGTCGGGAAAGCCACCAATGGACTCAGGAAGGCCTGCCGAATCGAATGATATGCGACATGACCTCTTTCGACCAACTTCGTGACCTGGGGGTGCTGACCTGACCTTGACCTGAGGTCAACACCCCAAGTTGACCTGACCCGGACAAAAAGTATATCATTCGACGCGCCTGAGCGAGGCGAACACGATGCTGCCAAAATCAGCGCTCTGCGGCCGTTTTTTGCGAAGTTATTCACCAAAAACTGAACCGTACCTTGGGGCACTTGACCTGACCTCAGAGGTCACCGGTTGACCTAGGACCTTAAAATCGGGTACCAATCTCTGCGTCTCGTAACGGCGCACACGCTCGTTTTTTCCGCGACGCGCTAGCTCCACCAGGGGCGAAACGGCGAGGGGGGGTCGTACCCGCCCCCCCCCCCCCTCGGCCGGCGCGTATGTAGAAAACCAATAGGTCCGGCGAGGGTTAATCATGCAACCGAGTGATCTTGCCGAACCGAACCTCGGCGGGCTTAAGGATAGGTATTGTATATTCACAAGACGAACGAATGGGAGGATAAATCAGTGGTGAGTTTCGTAAGAGCTTCTCCTGCTGTGAATGATATAAGGAAGGTTGTCTTCGTAAATCATATGAGATGTCCATCGCTTAACTATGTAGGTTCTCATTGGACTCGTCGAAGCATAATGATGTGAATCGGCAGCCTGCTCGTTCTAAATGTAAAGTGTAAATTCAGAATTAAGTTCCGCAAACATGCTTCCCGTTTATCAGCTCGAAACTTCCGGGTACAATCACGCCTACGTTTGTGTGCCTAAATACAATATCTATACAGTTTCACATGGCGGCTATGTTTACATCTTCCCATGTTACCGCATTTCACCAAGGTTGATTAAAATAAACTCGGCACAAAATACCTGCGGATCATAAACAGCGCTACACTTCACAGACGTGAGCGGTGGGGAAGTGGACTGCAGTTCGACCAACTCGCCCGTATGTGTGAACTTCCCACCGTAATCAGGGATAAACACCTCGGGCCGAGCCGCAGCGCTAACCGCCAACACGCGATACGGCCAGCCGTCGTGAGATAATCCATCAGTTTCACGTCAAATGTGGTACATTTGGCGTGTCGTACATGATATCCTGAGCTTTATCCTGATTTAGCTAAATAAATATGTCATATCGTGTGCTCCAGATATAGTTATAAGGTAGGGATGATACATACTCATCACTCGTTTGGACACACTTGTTTTCCCACACGACTAATGAGACTTTTATTTGGTTACTTTTTGCTATCTTTGTAATTATCTTTGTTATCAATTGCACATTTAATATTTCACGGCCGATATTGTGCCACAGGTTTTTCAGGGTAAGGATGTTTTAACTTGGCCAGTTTCTTGATTATCACGTCACTTTGTAATTAATTTGCACAGCTCATAACATCTCTCTATCCAAACATTTCCCGGTCCAAACACCTTGTAAGTGCAGTAAACTTAATAACAGCGCTGTATGCACAGCACATCACGGTGTGTGCAGAGTACAGATTGGGTGACGGGGTGCGTCTTGCCGACACCAGGGC